CAGATGCAGGGGAGGTGGGGCTTGTCAGGGTGAGGGTTCGATGGGCCTGCTTAACAGGGGAGCCCCAGCTTCTGCCAAGGGGATGCCGCATGCTGGACTACAGCTTCCCTCCTGCCCCCATTTCCTTCTCTTCCCATCCCATGCCCCTTCCCCACCACTCCATCTCCTCCTCATCCCACCCCCTTCCTTCCCCACTGCCTCTTTCCCCCTGCCCCCACTTCCTGTGCCCCCTTCTCTTCCCCATCCCATGCCCCTTCCCCACCGCACCATCTCCTCCCCAGGCTTGGGAGGCCGGGAGGGAGGAACTGCCCCCCCAGCACGAGCTGGCAGAGTGGAGCGGGTTGGGGCTGGATCGTTCCACTTCCTGCCACCCAGTGATTGCAGGGCGGGCCCGACCCTGCACTCATGGGGCGGTGGGAAGCGGAGTTATCCGGCCCCAGCCCGCTCTGCTCTGCTTCCCTGGCTCCTGGAATCACCCGTCTGCACTCACCGACCGTGCGGCTGGAGGCTGGCAGAACGTAGCGGGCTGGGGCCGGGTCACTTCACTTCCCACCTCCCAGTGAGAGCAGGGTGGGCCTGACCCCTGCTGCAGTCCCCCAGGATTCGTAGCTCAGGAGAGGGGACTTGGGGGGAAGGGGTGGGGTGGAGGTAGGGCTCGGGCGGAGCAGGGGTGGGAAGAGGCGGGGGCGGAGCAGGGGTAGGGGCAGCTTTCCTGGCTGGCTCAGTCAGCTGGGTGATCAGGCTGGCCGGGGCCTCTTCTAACTCTGGGCCTGGCACCATGGTAAACCCGGTACTGGCCTTAGACCTGTTAAGTACTGAACACAATTCTTTGTGACAGGTTTCAGAGTGGTAGCCGTGTTAGTCTGTATCATCAAAAACAATGAGGAGTCCTTGTGGCACCTTAGAGACTAACAAATGTATTTGGACATAAGCTTTTGTGGGCTAAAACCCACTTCATCAGATGCATGGAGTGAAAAATACAGTAAGCAGTATGTGTATTTTACAGCACATGAAAAGGGGTGAATATCAAATTAGGCCTGAATAAAGACTGGGGGTTTATGGGTCACTACAAAAAGTAATTTTCCCTCTGCTGATACTCACATCTTCTTGTCAACTGTTGAGAATAGGCCACTTCCACCTTAATTGAATTGGCCTCATTAGCACTGACCCCCCACTTGGTAAGGCAACTCCCATCTTTTCATGTGCTGTAATATATATACTGCTTACTGTATTTTTCACTCCATGCATCTGATGAAGTGGGTTTTAGCCCACAAAAGCTTATGTCCAAATAAATTTGTTAGTCTCTAAGGTGCCACAAGGACTCCTCATTGTTTTTGATGATACAGACTAACACGGCTACCACTCTGAAACCTGTCACAAAGAATTGTGTTCAGTACTTAACAGGTCTAAGGCCAGTACCGGGTTTACCATGGTGCCAGGCCCAGAGTTAGAAGAGGCCCCGGCCAGCCTGATCACCCAGCTGACTGCGCCC